ATGGTGTTTTATGGTGGCATATTGCATTATTTGCATACATTTTATAATGATTTTCTTGAATTGTTGCATCGATGGAACTCAATTCTTGCATATTTAGCCATTTCTAAGCCTTTAGAATAATTAGGGTTCATTTATAGTCTCAGGATATTTTGATTATTTTAACAATTTTTAGGCAATTTTAAAACATTAGCTTATTTTGTGTCTTTTATTTTCCTAAAATCAATGAAATAAATTTGAGATTCAAACTCATTCTAGGTTTCAAAGAAGCATTAAAATACATAAGTTATAGGATGTTTCAAGAAAAAAATATTAATACTATTTTTGTCATGTTTTATAACTTAGGAGCTTGGAAATGGCATTGTATCTTACAATTAGCTCTGAGTTTAAATTTGAAATTTTCCACACATGCTTTGATCACTCTTATATGTATAATTACAGGTGCAAACAAGGATTTAGATGAAGATTAAATGGCTAAGAGATGGGATTATAAGACAAAGTATAAGGCAAGAAAACCCTAGAGTGAAACATGTGTAAGAGTTGATTCAAAGAGCTTTTAATGAATTTAATCATTGAGGATTTTGACCAGTCAGCCTTTAATCACCCTTTGATCATCTTTTTAAGAGTGTTTATTGAGTTCTAATCAAGTGTGAATGCAAGAGCTACATGTGCATCTAAGTTAATCTAGCTTGAATGGTGGCCACATTCATTCTTGAACCTCCTAACCAAGTTTGTTAAGTATTTTCAAATGTTTATGGCTTTAACAACCTAAAACCCATCCTATTTTACTCATTTTACAATATCACAATTTGAATATAGAGGTTTTTGGTCGTGCACACACTCATTCACTCATTTTTCACATCATAATTCATACACATTCTCTATCACTTTTTTGAAATTTCTAGCACTACTTCATCCAAATTTTCTCTCATTTTCCTCCATTTTCCTATACTTTTCTAGCCACATTCCTTCGTCTTAAGCAAGTATTAGAGCCATGGAAGTCATCTCAAGGAGGATTCAACCTTGGATTCAAGAAGAATTCACCATGAGAGGCTAGGTTCTTAAAGCTTTTCAAGGAAGATGAAGCCATATCTTGAGTTCTCCTAAACCTTTTCTCTTACCTTTAATTGCTTTGAATTCTTCTCTTCTCCTTCTTTAATTATGTAATTCATGCTCTTAAGATTGATTCTAGGTTATAGATTAATCATTATGGCTAAAATTCATGTTCTAAAGTGGAGAGGATGTGTATTTAATTTTTGTACTAGTTGTATACTCTAAGTGTTTTTATTTACGCCTTAAGGTTTTGATGAATGAATACATATTTTCATTTCAATCTCTTGCTTTGGACTTGTATTAGCTATTACTTAGGTCTTAAACTCTAGCAAAGATCATAATATTGATTGGTTTAAGGTGTTAAACATAATCAAAGCAAGAGCTAAGACTAGTTTCAAGGATTGAATCACATATTGGTGTATTTAACTTAGGTGATTTGTGTATTGGATTCTAAGTAGTTATTAGGTTCTAATCACTATCACCTAGTCTTGATGGTCATTAAGACACCTTCAAATACCAATTGAAGAAGGTAATTGAATCTCAAACTAGGTGACCAAGAATAAGAATGAAAGTGGTGGAATCTAACCTTGAGAAACTTCTTTAATACTTAGTTGATTTCTACACATTTTATCTTTATTTGTTTCACATTAAAATCAAACAAAAACATCTAAATTTTCTTTTAAACTCATCAATTCAATTTTGGAATTTTAATTTATCATATCATTAGCTTGATTTGGTTGCAAAATGCTTGCTCCTTAAGGATAGAATGACCTAGGGTACTCACACTACTACACCTTAGTTTCTTTGAGAAACTTGACACAACTTAGGACTTTTTAATGGGTCATTGACGCTTTTTAGATGGTACATAAAAATTTAGGTTGGCTTGTGCTTGATTTGATGAAAAATCAAAGTTAAGAATGCCACCTGAGGTTCGATCAAGAAAATAAATTTTGAAGCAAGGTGAAGTGTTAATGTGACCTTTGGTATGGGCAATGATAAAAGATCTAGAAAAAGGACTCAAAGTTCAAGTGGTAAGGATTCTCAACAGTGGCGTAAGAGAAGTATTTTTTTTTATTTACCTTATTAGTCAAATAATATGTTTGGCCATTATCTTGATGTGATGCATATTGAGAAGAATGTTTGTGATAATATCATTTTTAAATAGGAAAAACTTAAAGAATATGAAAGCCAACATTCATCAGATTCTAGTGTTGGTAATGATATTTTAGTGCAAGTTTTAGGCCTAAATCGCTACGGACATGTGAGAGGATTGGGATTAGGTCCAACACCGACATCTTTACAAGAGGGAAGATGAGTTGCAAAAGAAATCAATCAAATGAAAGTAAGGGCATCACAAGTGGAAGAACAAAACAAGAGATTGCAAGATGAGTTGCAAAAGAGAGAGCTAATTTACAAGAGGGAAGCAGAGTTGTTGTCTATGGAAAGAGAAAGGTTGGCTCTAGAAAGAGAAAGGGAAAGAGAAAGGGAGGAACAATTTCTAGTTATGCAAGAAATGACAGAAAGAATAATGAAGTCAATGGAGGTAAAATGACAAATGCGACACCTTAATTTAGTAAAATGCGCTCAACTTATTTTATTTATACTTTTTTTATCTTATATTTTCTAATGTTACATTTTTATTTATAGGATTCATCTTTCAATACTAGTCCAGACAATAGAATAAATATGAACTTGAACAATTCTCTGAACTCTTTTCATAGATGAATTTCTGCTTGGAATTATTATTTGTAATGGATTAATAAATATTTGTTTTGTTTGTTTTCTTTATATTTAACTTTGTTAAAATTTTGATGAAAAATTTCATATCAAGATGTTTTCTAGTTAGTAATATAATATTAAGGGTGTGATAGCTTATCAATAATATATAAATTATTTATATTAAAATTAATAATATAACTTTCATTAACTTGAACTTAAATTTTATTTAGCAAATAAAAAAGTAGCTATTAGAGATATAATATATTTGTTACCATTACATAATTATTTTTTGGTTAAAATTAATATTATAAGTTTTATTCACTTAAATTTTAATTTTAGGATTTGCATATCAAAATATAATTAATTATATAATTATTTTACTATTAGAACAATTTAATTATTCACAATCATTAATATAAATATTTCATTTTTGCTGTTATACAGTATAAATTAAAACAAATTAATTTGATTATTAAGACAAACAATTAAATTTTTTTAGAAATTAATTAATGGGTTCAAAGTAATACTATAAATTTATTCACTTAAATTTTATTTAACAATTAATTTACATAATAAAATACAATTAATTATGCAATAATTTTGTTATCAGTACAATTTAATTATTCACAATTATTAATAAAAGCATTTCATTTTTGTTGTTATAAAGTAAAAAGTAAAATAATTAAATTTAACTACTTTCAGAAATTAATAAATGAGTGTTTCTTAATTATTAAAATAAGTGGCATCAACCGCGTTTTTGTCCTTAGCGTGGCTCACGAACCATGTTTTCTATCCCAACTGTGGCCATATTTGATCTGCATGTTGTCATTTTGTTATTAAATATCGTTTTATTTTTTTAGGCAACTTCATCGGTTATCATAATTTCAAGTCAGTTCTTCTTCTTTTTTCTTCTTTTCTAGTTTACAGTGCCTTCTTTTAATTTAAATTTTCTAACTATATTTTTATTTTTGTTTTATAGGTAGTGATATATAAAATATTGATTAAAAATATTTCAAACCATAAATTTACAAGTAGAAATAGAAATATATACTTCTCCAGCAACCAGCAACAGATAAGTCATTTGAATGAATACTAGATCAATTGCACTAATAATCTAAATCATATGTATTAATAATCTAACAATCACATAAATAAAATTTAATCATCAAAAATATTTTTGAAATTAAATTCTGCGAGAAATTTTTTTAAGATATTGCAAAAAAAAATAAAAAAATAATATAAATTTTGTATTATTTAAATTAATGATTTTTTAAAAAAATATTTAAATTACTGAAAAGAAATTTGCTGAATTTTTTTTGAAAATATAAGCTTGGAGCCATGTTTCTTTTTTGAGAAAACCAAGCTTTAAGTCTGACAATTGTCACATGCACGAACAATAGCCACAGTTTTTACAAAAAACGTGACTTTAATTTGAAAAACCATGGCTATGTTCTACCCACAATTGATATAGCCACATCTTTTTACAACTGTTGGTAAAAGACTTCGTCCCGTTTTAAAAACATGGCTATTAAATAAACATAAGCATGCTAAATTATAGGTTTGGTTATAGTGATATGGCTAGAATGAAAGAAAGAAATATGAGACTTATTTGAAAATCTATTTTGAGAATAGTTTTCTGTTCTTCAAAATAAAAGAATAAAAAAATCTATTTGATAATATATTTTCAAGAAGTGTTCTGGAGAATAAAAAAATAAAATATTATTCTGAAAAATAGAAAAATAAAAATAACTTTTAAGTATTCTGTGATTTTTGTTTTGGAGAACAAAAGAGAATAAAAAAAAACACCTATTTTTATTATTTTTTTTATTCTCAGAACATGTTCTACAAAACACTAGTTCTCAAAATAATAAAATAAAAACAGTTTCTTTCATTTTTCAATTGAGAAAACAATTTATTTTAAATAAATTCTTGTCATTGTTTTAAGTTTTGCGCAATATTTAGAAAACCTGCCTAATGGGAAATTCCCCCCAAATATTATTAATTAATATTAACACATGCATCTAAATCAACTGAATGGTTAGATTATTTAATTTCACTTAAATTGACCGTCATTTGTTTTTCATAAAAATGACGGAATACAAATAGGAACCAAAGACTCTTCCACTTGGACAACACCAAAATCCCCGTCGTTGTAATATTAATAACGTGTTTGACTTCTATGCAGATAATTTTCATTACAGATTATCCATAGAGATATCAGCTTTCGAATGTAACAAAAGTTATTATTTATTTATTGATATTGGATATATATTTTCAATGTACCTTATTCTACAGAATATAATTGATAGAAAAGTCAGACCCAAATACAAACACAAACACAATGCTTAAGCAAGAAGCTTAATGACAAATAATCCTCCCAACTGCTTGTAAGCTGGATCTGAAAAAAGAAAGGGGGATTCTGCCAATTTCTTCTCAAATTGAATGAAAAACTCATCCACAATGCCTTCTTCTTCAAAATGATTCTTGAAAACCCCTTCAAACCCTGCTCTAAGGTGCATGCAAGCTTTATGGGCATCTATTTGTTGGCTCTTATTGTCAAATAATTTATATAATAATTCTGACTTCTCAATTTGGAACTTGCCATTCTTCTCAATCAATTCTTTTACCTCTTCTGATGCTGCCATGTAGATAGGCATGTTGAAGGAATCAATCTGCTCTTGGCTTATTAAGCCCTTCATTTGCAAAATGAAAATTGGTTAAAAATCAACATCAGTATCAACCAAACAATAATTAACTATGAAATCACAAGGGAAAATCGTTTGGGAGAATGAGGTTTAAGTCTCAAAACTTTGAATTAATGACAGTTAAATTTCTTACATTTCTAGCAAAGTTGGAGATATTAATTCAAACCAATGTAAATTTATCAGTTTTAATTGTAGATAGGACATTTAAGTTTCAAATATAACTCTCAAAACAAATCTAAGGTTCTTATTTGTATCTGTTTAAATTGATATTTGTAACTCATTTTTGAAAATTTTTTGCCAAGACCTAAGTGTCATTCTTTCAAAATATTTGGTTCTATTTCTCTGCTATTGTATTTCAAAGAGAGAGATAAATACATGTTAAAAGCGAACCCCACATATCAGATGAGTCCCACATAGGCCGTCTATCTCTTCTCTTACACAACATCGAATTGTCAAAGCAGAGAGAATTAGGATCCGAGAATTTTTTTTATTACCTCATTTGCCATCTCTGCAAGAATATTCTCCATGATGTTTGCCTGAGCTTGAAATGCATTCTTAGAATCTGGTGGGACACAGGGAATAATAAGAGTCATGATACCTCCAGGAACAAGTTCTAAGGCTCTTGAATTCAGAAAGCTTTCAATGTCTTTTGCAAATTGTGCAGAATAAGCCCCTGCAACATTCTTGTCTTCATTTGTAAAGTAAATTCTTCCTTTATTATAAGCAGGAGAGTTCTTGTCAACTATGTCTTTAGGTATCCTTGAGAGCCAATGAAGAGCATAAGATGAGTTGAGGACATGAATGCTTGATTCTGGAAACAATCTTCCATGAAACGAACCAGGCACAGCTGCTGCATAGTATAGTTTATCCTCTGGAAGAGACTTGAAAAGTGTGTTGAAGTCATTACCAGCATGATCATTGAACAACGCTTGAAATTCAAGTGATGAATCTAAACCATGTCCTTGAGATTGAGCTTTGAGATTCACAGCATCTATAATGTTTTGAATTGTGAAGAAGGTGTTAGGTCCAACAGAACAACCCAGATCTGCAATGCGGATAACATTAGAGGAATGCTGCACAAGTGATTCAACATCAAGTTTCTCAATAATGGCATCTCTGCTAATGTGTTTGGTGATATCTGCTCCAATTCGCTGCAAACAAGGGTGTTGAACATCAAACTTTAACTGAAAGCAAACTGAATATATATATATATATATATATATATAGAAATTACACTTTTTTTTTCCCGCGAGACTAGGAGTATCTTCTGCCAATTGCATAAGATTAAACTAGCTTGGGGTATTGAGGGTAAATGATAGATTTTTCTGGACTATAGAATTTCCTTTTTCTTTTTGATAACAGAAAGCTTAGATAAATTGGGTTCAGAGGCTCACTAGGCCAAGGTATGACTCTAGATTCAACAACCAATTATAGATATATCTACAAATAACTTGCTAATAAAGCCTTCATATCGGCGGGGAGATTTGATATCACAACCTTGTGGAATATATAAATCAAATTCTTACTAACTGAACTAATCTTTATTTAAGAGTTCAGAATAAAACTTCCAACTATACACTTGAAATACAAGAGCTTTTACTACTCAGAACAATTTAAGTTGATAGAAATTGCATTTTTACTTGTTATGCCTATGGATAGTTTTAAATCGTAGGATATATTTATATGCATTTATATATATATATATATGAATTTGTGTCATTGAAAATTTGTAGATGAGTAAATCAAAATTAGAATGGAAAAATAAAGAGTTGAAATAGAAGAGATATAGAAATGTAATATTGAAAATGTTAGGAAAATTATGAGCTTAATAAACAAGATAAAGAAATAAAAGAAGAAAGTGAAAAAAAAAAAAACAAGAAGAAGTAAGTGGTGGGATTGAAGAACCTGCATATTGGAATTTTTAGCATAGCTATATTGGCCTTGGCCCCCATTCATTGGGAATGCTTCATAAGATTGGTTGCCTATTTTGGTTTCCATCTTTATGATATTTTTGTGAGCTTTTGAGAAACACACAGATATAGGATGAACATCTACACTGCTTATAGATGTATATATACGCTGTAATTAAACAAGAGTCTTCTTTATTATCATGATTATGTCAGATTTTGGAAAAGTATACACACGCACACGTTTATGCTTACATAAGATGTATATAATTAATATTCGAACATTGAATTATTTATTAAATTATATTTCAAATGGAAGGAAAGTTTTGTTCGGTGCCGTAAGTTTACACGTAACATTTTTTTATTAAGATTTTGAATGGTAATTTGGCACCTGTATAGTGGCTTTCGATCAATTCTATTCTTGTCACTAAATATAAACATAAATTATGTACATTCAACGGAGAAGTGCATCATATTTTAACTGAAAATCTCAAAACATAAATTCATGGATCTTTTAACATTTATACATATATATAATCTTTTAATCCTAATTTTATTGTATGAAAGACTTTTTACATTAGCTCAAATTTATTTATATTTGGACATTCTCGCATATGCATGGTTTACATGCTGTACATATACAGCGGTTCTTGTTACAAATGACACGCAATCCTCCAGACATATATAGAATCTATACAAGTTTGGAGAATAGTCTTAATTGTGTTTAACATCTAAATTGAATTGTTATACATATTACTTAAAATAATGACTGTGTTCTATTTTTTTTTTTTAAGGAAAATGAGGAAATACGTTTTGAAACCAGAGACTCTTCCACTTATACAATAGGAAAGTCCCCACCACTGAACATTCAATATGGAGAATGACATAAATGCCTTTGGGAGAACTACTTTCAATTAGATCGGAAAATGCTCAAATTTGATTCGATCAGATAACGTATTAAAAAAAATATTTCCATGATTAAACAAAATTGACAAATAATCCTCCCAAGTGCTTATAAGTTGCGTCTGAAACTGAAAGCAAGTTGGATTGTGTCAATTTTTCTCATATTGAAAAAATATCTCACCCACAGTATCTTGTTCAAAATGCTCCTTGAAAGGTCCTTCCCATGCAGCCATCATATATAATTAGATTATGTCTTTTAAATTTTTTATATATATATTTTGTAAAAAAATAATTAAAATGTAAATATTGCATTAAACTGATTTTTATTTTTTGAAAAAACATTAAATTAAATTTTCTATAAACCTCGAAGTGTTTTTATTTTGGGAAAATAAATCATTTATTAATAATTTTAACTTTTAGAAATTAATATGTCTAATATATCAAATTACAAGACTCAATTCAAGTAAAGTAAATTACATGGATCTAATTTAAAATTGAGAAGAATTATAAAGATGAAAGGATCTTTTTTTTTTGGGTTAAAGATGATGGATTAATTGGTTTCAATTTGTTTTGATATGCCGAACTCGATATGTGACGTGCTTTCGTCGGGTGAATAGTACTACGAAGATGAAGATGACAAAAATGTTATTGTCTTTTCCTGTTTTTGGCCTTTTTTTCTATGCTCAAGTAATCTATATTAAGTACTCCCACCGTACAAGAATACAAGATATTTATTTAGAGGTAAGAAATTAAAAAATATAGACATTTTAGGTCTATCAATGTGCAATAATTGATGAATTTTAGGAATGTAATTAATAAGATTTTTTAATTAAGACACCTTATTACATAGGGGCCAAATAAACATGAAAAAAGTGTGTGATTTTAAAGATAATTAATTAATTTATTGAAAATATAATTTAATTAAAAATGTTTTAAAATATTGAATTGAAAGAATGAAAATCATACCAAGATTCTATTCTCAGTTTTTCTATCATACTAAACATTTTTTTATTTTTAAATTCCATCTCTCACACTATTACAAAAATGAGATTTAATAACATATATTTATAGCAATTAAAAATAAAATGTTATTAGAATGAAAGCTGAAATACATTAGGTGGCATTTCTTTAAGAAAATGTCACCGTTTATTAATTATTTTTTTATTTTCAATTTTATTAAAATAACAAGAGATGATGTTTTTTTCATGAAATGCCACAATCCATTGTTACTGAACAATTTCGTAGCATTAAAAAAAAAGGCCACTTAATGATTATGATAATATTAAAAAAATAATTTCATTTATTATGGTTATTATAATTATTATTATACTTATTAATACAATTGTTATAGTTTAGCTTTTTTGTACTTATTTAATTATATATAACAATTTTTATTGATTAATAATCTAAAAAATTTAATTATTTTTAACTAAAAGTTATTTCTATTTAACTATAATGATTATTGAAATATAATTATTAATATTAGTACCAACTATAATATAAATTAAGTAGTTAATTAATAATCATTATAAATATATAACAATAATTTAAAACTAAAAATATGAAATTACAAATACATTTTTCAACATTTATTTCATAATAAATATAATAATAAATAAATAATTCATTTAATTAATCTTAGGTGGCATTTTTTGCTTGAGGAAACATGACCTAATAATTTTTTATTCATTTTATTTAAAGATATATTATTTTCAATGATTATTTTATAATAAATATAATACTTAATTAATATTTTATTTAATTAATCTTATGTGTTTTTTTTTTTAGGAAATGCAGAAACGCTACCTAATAGTTTCCATTTAATTTTTATAAAAATATACATTTTAAATAAGTATTTTATAATACATATAATATTTTATAAATATTTTATTTAATTAATTTTAGGTGGCATTTCCTGCGTGAGAAAACGCCACCAAAGGGTTATAATTTATTTTTATATGATAGTTAATCATTTTATTTTAGAATTTATTTATCACGTCCCAAAAATTAGACGTAATCAGTATGGGATACATGTACAAATATATATTCTTGAAACCTTGATTAAAAAAACTTTAATCTAATATTTTAATTCATTTGAAATAAGATGGAAAGTCATTATAATATTTTTATATAAATAAAAGATTTCTAAACTGTTTGTAAAACTTTTGGGAGGACCTCTTTATAAACATGACCTCCTGAAATCTTTACAACAGCAATATAGTCCAAATCAAGAATGCGGAACTCTGCTCCTCCACAACAGACAGATAAATATATCACAAATTAGGATCCTGTCTATAGTTAACATGAAGTGCTTAATTATAAATTTCAAAATATAACATATAATTAAACATCTACATTAAAAGGAAAGTGTCCTGAAACGATCTTCTAATCAATTCAACAATGGGCCCTTCAGAAATCAGTAGAAGGTATATCATTAGCTATGTTATTTGAGACAAAAAATATTTTCAATGAATAATATTTCAATTTATAGTTGAAAGAAATAATAGAAAGTAACATCAATTAGTCAATAATAAACTTATAAAAATAATCAATTATGATAATACAAACACATATTCATAAATATCAACACTAATAATTATGTAAATGTATAAAGTATGAATATATGAACTCAATTAAAATTATTAAAAATTCAAGTTCCACCTTTAATTTCCTCATATGTTTAAAAACCTTAAGATTTATGTTTCTCAATACAAAATCTATCCACAGCAAAATAATAATAATAATAATAATAATAATAATAATAATAATAATAATAATAATAATAATAATCATTTACCCTTCAAAATCAAACTTAAGGAAAATAATAAGCATGAAAACACTTTCTTTAGCATGACTTAATCAAAATAATTAATAAGCATGGACACACAATTTATGAGAGTGAGTAACGTATTTGATATGGCAAGAAGCCACGAAAAAATAGGCGTAAGCATAAAACTCATGAATAACAAGCGTAAATTATATACGTGAAACTACATTGTCTGTTCCACGTGTGTTGGTCGTCACACGAGGCTAGCACCTCCAATGCACCCTGCTTGCTAGATATACCATGGCATGTCAAGGGTTAATAAAAATTATCGTTAACAGCTAGTGTTTTGATTCAGTCCCACATTTCAAATCAAACATGACTGGATATAAGATTAACATAATCTCTCTTACATATAGATCAACATAGCAATTTCCTTCAGATATTCATTTGAAGAAAATAATTCCAAATATTTCTAAAATTTCATTTATGTAAAAAACATTTTCAAATTTAATCATCGATAATAAAATAAAAATAAAAAACATTAAGTAAGACTAAATTAAAAAAATTATCATTTAACTTTAAGGGATCAAAAAGTTTATAGAAAAAGAGAATGTATCATATAAATGTGCTCTGGCAATATTTTTGATAAAATAAGTTTGATAACAAATTATTAAAATGCTATTCATTTACCTATAATATTCTCAAACATTAAAATTCACTTTTTACAATTTCAAACAAATCTTTCTCACCACTTCAATAAAGATTTCCTTTCTCCAAATCTCCTATTTAAAATATAATAGGGTCTTAATAGACTCTCAATAGGCTTAGTAAAATTCTCTTCTACATTCACATAACCAAAATATAACTAGAATAAATTAGAAACTCTAGAATCAAGAATTACACATAAAGATTTCTCCTTTGTTACTAAGTTCTTAAATCGATCCAATTGATACCTTAATTACTTCAATCCTTACAATATATATACATATATATATATATACATACTTTTCTATCTAAGGCATTGTTTTAGTTGTCTTTCTAGCTCACCTCAGGCACAATAGCTAAATTTTAGTCAAGACATATACATGAACAAACACCCTTATTACTCTAATAATTCAATACTTCAATCATCTATTTAATCGAACATCTTAAGCGCATTCCAAAAAAAGTCATAAAAGCAACATCATGGTTAGCAAATTATCAACTATACAACTCCCAAAATTCAATTTGTCCCACGGTAGCTTCATAATCAACTTTATTTGCAAATTTTCAAAATTAAATCCAACCCAATAGCACCTCAAATCGGTCATGCTTCTCACCATAATTAATAAAATTTAAAAAAACAAAATCAATTAAAACTCTCCTAATGAGCATTTTATCAAATATTTTGTAGGCATGATTTTTTTTTTTAAATTTAATACTAATCCTTCTCTTCAAATCTCATCCTAACAAT